TTGCACTCGTGTGACAGTCCTGGTCTAGTGGGCCTATGTCTCCAGGCAGTTCAGGGTACAGACAAAACCCAGACACAAACTGCAGGGTTGACGGTTTGTGAAGCACCTGATTCTGTGTCTCCAGTCAGTTCAGGACACATACAGGAACCAGATGCCAGCTCTGTGGCTAGCAATCACAGACTGCCAGTGCCTTTAACCCCCTAGGGGGTCCGGGTGAAAGTAAAGCACGGACTTGAACTGCTGGACCAGCAGCTGTTGGAGCACTCGCTCACTTGGTGCAGTGCATGCATGGGGAGGGGCTACATGCACCCCCCGCAGCCAGAGAAGTCCCTAGGGCTTCTGAGTGAGGACCTCCTGTCTGGCACAGGTGCCTGGAGGGCAGAGAGTCAGTCTGTAATGGCAGCGGGGTCCTGGGTCACCTACTCTGCCCTCAAGAAATAGATCAGAAATACCTGGCTCTCTTCACGAGTTTCAGCTGGGAACCGTGGCGGTGTGAGTAAAGCACGGACTCTAACCATGGGACCATCAGCTCTTGGAGCACTCGCTCACTTGGCACAGGGCAGGCTCATAGAGGGGCTACTCGCGCCTCCTCCAGCCAGAGAAGTCTCTGTGTCTTCTGAGTGAGGCCCTCCTGTCTGCCGTGGGTGCCTGGAGGGCAGATACTCAGTGTGTAAAGGCAGTGGGGTCCTGGGTCACCCGCTCTGACCCCAGGAAGTACATGGGACATACCTGGCTCTCTCCGTGACTTTCAGCTGGGAACCATGGTGGTGGAAGTAAAGCATGGACTTGAACCGCGGGATCAGCAGCTCTTTGAGCACTTGCTCATTCAGCGCAGGGTGCGTGCCTTGTCCTTTAAATTGTACTGGAATATGCTTTTCAAGCCAGATAAAGTGTAATCCTCACCTGTCTTTTTCTTCCTTCATGAGTTTTGAGTAATTTTCATACTTTGTTTACTTATTATAGCCCCTTACTTTGGAATTTGACCTCTAATCAGAGTGTATGTGTTTAAAATTACATCTGCTTCCCATTATAGGTCCTAAGTTTTGTTCTTATCCCCGTGAAATGTGCTGTTCATTGCAAAGAAATCTACTCATCACAGTGTAGTTTAAAACAGTTGTTTTAAATGCATTGTTATATAATGTGTACAGTCTCACTTACTGGAACTATCAACTTAATATTGCTTTTTCTTCTACAAGAAAGCAACAACTCTTTACATGTTTTCCAGGAATGACAGGGTTTGTATTCCAGTGTCACAAAGAAACACCAGAGACCTCCTTGGGATGACCTCCTGTGACCTGAAGACATTCAGCAGAGGACCTGTATTAAGTTTTCATAGCATCTGATATGGAGTAAAAGTACTGGGCTTTCTGTTTGGTCAAAAATCAGTTGAGAGAGAAATTCTATCAAATATCAGGCATGTACAAGAACTTTTTGAAAGGTCTTCATAATTCCTGTAGAGTCGCTGTGGCGCCACCTACTGGAGACTATATGCCATGGCCAATATGGCACTGGCCCTTAGAGGCCATGTGCTATGCCCCACCCTTGTTCCTGGGGTCAAATTATGACTTCCTACTCCCCTTTATGTAATATCCTGTTTCATTTTCCCATGCTCCCACCCAGTGCTAGCCTGCCAGGTCAGCTAGCATACCCTCTAAACCCTGCCTCTAGCCTGACCATATATAACCATTGTCCCCATGACCCAGCCCCCGGAAGATTCTCTTTCTCAGTCAATCTTCTCTGTGCCCTCTGTAGTGAAAGTGTTTTATTGTTTTATTACTCTCTGTGCCACTGGCCGACACCTTTTATTATTGGTGCCCTTTTGACTTGGATTGTGAGTTTCATGGGGCCTCCCTCCAGGAGGGGACTTTCCCTCCCTTGATCTGAGGCTCCCTGCCCCCCGCCAGAGTCCTGCCTTTTTCTTTGTCTGGAAACTTGCTGTTGCCATCCTGCATGCAACACTGGCTAGCTCCAATTCTCACAGGTGAGCCTCCTTTCCTACCAGGAGTCTTGTCTCCCTTATCTCGACGTCCATAAATCACAGGCCTGTGTCAAGACTCCTTTCCGGGACTAGTGTGTCCCTTCCATCCTACAGGACTCCCTTCTTCTCGGTGATGACTGGGAGGGTAGATTTGGGCACTTTCTCCTCTCTTGTATCTCTGAAAGGGTGACGACTCTCTCAGGGGTTACGAGACCAGCTGCTCTAGCCTCCAGCTCACCTTTGATCTGGTCATAAAATGGGAAAGATTTATTCCCATCCTCCCAGAACACATCCCACTCGGTTGTCTCCTGTCCAGCTTAACTGCTTTGAGACTCGGAGACCCGCTCACACCAAAACAATTAATCTTTTATGGCCAGACGGTCTGGCCTCGCTACAAACTAGACAATGAGAGCCACTGGCCTGCAGATGGCACTCTTGATCTTACTATTCTTAGAGATCTAGATAACTTCTACTATTGCAACAGCAAGTAAAAGGAATTATGCTTTTATTGTTCTTAGGGCACGTTCTTCTCTCCTCTAGGCATGTGGGACTGCCCAACTCTGTTTGGCCCATTCCACACCATAAGAATCCCCTCCTAAAGCCTTTCCTGACCCTCTCCATGATGTTTCTCCTGTCTTCACTCCCCATCCAACCTATCTTCAATCTCCACAAGCTGACTCTTCACCCTCTCCCTTCCAGCCTGATCCTAATCAGCCAGATGGCCAAACCCCCTCACCCCAGCCAGCTCAGCCAGCAGCCCAGTCCCCTTCTCTCCACCCTCCTTTACCCATTTCTAGCCCTCTCCATCTCCCAAACCTACTATTTGCCTGGCCCCCACTTTCCAGGCACCACCCTCCCATCCAACTCCTTCTCCCCCACCTGCCCTTACCCCACCCTCGGCCCCACACCCTCGGCCCCACACTCGTCCCATTCTCCTCCTCCACAGTCTCCACCCTCTACAGACACAGCATCTATTTCATCTCAAGGCTCCTCTTCTCCAGCTTCTCCCCTCCCCCACTGCCCCATCGCCTTCCTCTCCTCCCACCCACCACACCTGATCTAAGGAGACACATGGTAAGAGGCCACAAGAGGGTAGCCTTCAGCCACATGGTCACTGGTGGCCATCTTGCTGCAAGCCTCATGACTGCTATATGCCGTAAGCCGTGAGTCACATGGTCACCAGCAGCCATCTTGCCTCAGGTCACATGACCACCCTCTGCCATCTTGCCCTAGCCCCTTGTGCCCCCACTCCCCAACTCCACTTACCCTTCACCACCTCCTATTTCATCTCAACCTCAATTTATATGCCCCCTTCGGGAACAGGCTGGCCCCTGAAGGGCTAATTTATATCCATGTACCTTTTACCCTCTCCGACCTTTTGTAGATTTCTAATAAATTGGAGTCTTTTACAGCTGATCTCCACAGATATGTTTCAAAACTAGAGTTTGTCACCACCTCTTATGATTTACATTATAAAGATCTTTTTACCATCCTTAACTCCACTCTTTCTCCTCAGCAAAAAAAGGAGTTATAACAAGCAGTTTCATGTTAGCGTTAAACACCAAGCTAATCCAGATTATTCTGGTTTTTCTTTTTTTT